TCACAAACCCTCAAAGTACACCCTGTAGCGAGTAAAACTCTAACACAGAAAATACCTCCCCAAAACGCCTCGTTGGAGATACGTTATTGCTATTTGATTCTTCCATTTCGTTCCGGGTACGGCATGATGTCAAGCCGTACCCGTTACGTTACGTCCGCGGAGCCGTTATGTTAAGCCCCCGCTGATTGGTCCAAATTGACCAATCCACGGACTTCCTCACACACACATCTGTGTGCAGGGAGCAGGCAGCTCAGCTGATTTCTCCTCCCTGGCTGCAGGCTGATAACAGACAGTTGGGATCGCGGCAAAATTCTCTCTGCAGACCCATTCTCACAGCGTTTATCAACCTTTTTCTTACTCAATATCAAGCCACACTTATTGTTTTTACTTCGGCTGTGAGTTTGTGTGTGCTCAGGATGAGTTTGGCTGTGTTTCGCTATGTATCCTAAACAAGGAAACAACACCTCCACGGAGCTCAGTGCGATTCACAACGTCCCGACCAATCAGAGCACACTGTGCTCACAGGGAGGGTGGGGGCTGGAGCTATTGGAGCTACAACGAGCCGTTAAAGGCAGAGAGTGAAATTCAGTGAATACACGTAGTTTACAGAGATGCTGTTTGAGAAACCAATGTGAGTTTGGAAAATTGCACAATATAAATCTATTCTAGTAGACCTTAACAATGGAATTATGATCAGTGGAAATGGCCATGACATGGGCCCTTTAACAAATGATCCCCACAATGTGAGCAAAGCAAGTATGCTAAAAATGCCACTGAACCTTACTTGGAATTACCTCTGCTTTTAAATGATGGGAAACTAAGTATTTATTGGGAATTTGAACTTTATTTACTAAAATGGAATAATTTATCTGGGGTTCCAGTATTTTGTCCCTCAATGTGAGTCCCTATATAAAGTCCCTGTTACCAAATCGTCCCCACTATGCCATCAAAACAAGTACGCTAAAACGCCATTGAACCTTACTTGGACTTACCTCTGCTTTTAAATGATGGGAAATATAACTGTTATTCTAAGCTTAGCCATAAAACAAAAAAGTGTAATTACTAAAATGGAATAATTTTTCTGGGGTACCAACATATGATCAACAATACCCTATAAGTAAAGTACTGATATACACATTTTTCTATTTTTTGTCCCCATATGAGAGTCCCCATAAAGTGCCAGATAACAAATGGTCCCCATGATGTCGGCAAAACAAGTAGGCTAAACGCCATTGAACTTTGACTTACCTCTGCTTTTAAATGATGGGAGACTAAGTATGTATTGGGAAAATAACTGTTATCCTAAGATTAGTCATACAACACATTGTCCCCATATGAGAGTCCCCATAATGTGACTGTAAACAGATGGTCCCCACAATGTCAGCTAAACCAGAACACTATACAGATGTAGCACCTCATTTCGGAAGCCCCTACCCATGTGGGTCCGTGATCTGCACGGTGTGGGCCCCTGCTGAAAGGAAAACCCCCCGCATGACTTGATACGCCCCCTTGATAAATAAATTAAATTATAATGAAACCAGCTGCAATGGATCATGGATCCACCAGGGGGAGCAGTGATTAAAAAGCTAGCACACTGGAACTCATGTGAAATAAACAGCTGATAGATCTACAGGTATCTGATATAGCGGATCTTTGTTAAGATCCATATGTCACGGATAGGATCATATTCTGTGCTAAATAAGAGACATGTAATAATTTACAAAACATCACCATGTTTGTATTTAACAGACTCACACACAGTCGTCTGTTGTTTCTATGCATAAAATAGTGAGAAACATCCCTCTGGTTAATAATTATATAACTTATTTTCTCCATAAAAGCTGGTGGGTTAAAAAAGCACTACGGGAGGTGAAAATAACTATATTGTAGAATAGAGAAGAATTGTGATGCCGTGGCTTTATCTGAAAACTGACAGTATACTTACATTTATGGCCCGGGACACACATATTTATTTAGATATGTTTTAAACAAGTTGAAATAAAAGGCTGGAGTGTTTCTTGCTCTGCCAGGTAGGCTACAACAAGTGGGATTTATCTTTTATTACTATACTGTAGCATATCGTTTTTTATTCCCACTGTCACTGATATAATCATATTCTGCATTGACAAGAATATTTACTATAATTTTATACTATTGTTAATAGTTTACTGTATTATTACTGCTATAACAATCACACATTGAGTTCATTGTTGTGCAATGATAAAATTATACCGTTGTTTTTTTAAATAGTCTGAATGAAACTCCGCAGAGCTCTCTCAGGTGATCAGCTGATCAGCGGGGGCTGTGTGTGACTCTCTTTGTTTACACAGCTAATGGCCACTCACCCACAGCTCTCCCCCCCCCCCCCCTGTGATCTCCCAACCCCCCTATGATCTCTCTTCTCCAGCAGTAACGTTTAACTGTAGGTTTGTGTTCGCATATTTATGCTGTCACAGTTCCTGTTGTTTCTATCGCACATTGCCATGAAAGGGTCTGTGCCGGAAATATCAAACAATTAATAAAAGTGAAAAACAATGAACACGACTTAAAGTATTAGTAATAATTAATTATATTTATTCCGTTTGGATGTACGATTTTTGACTTTGTTTAGAGCAGTGATCTTCTCTTCCTCTCTGCAGCAGAGAGCTAAGCGCTGTCAGAACGGACCATGGCTATAAAGGCAGAGGGGTGTCTCTAGTTCCCCCTCGACACATAGATAGACTGATCCTTTTTTTTGTCCATGTCCGATTGGCTTAGAGCTTTCGCGACTGCAAACATTTTTAAACAAACATTGACCATGTACCGTTCACCACCCCCCACTCCCCACAGCTCCCTTAAATCAACGCAGGGCTGTGACTGTCTTTGTTTCAAAAGTAATGGCCCATTGGAATGTGACAAAACTCTCCCCCCCTGTTCTCCAGCAGTGGTCTGAAAGGGTCTCTGGAAATATCAAACATTTAATTAAAGTTTTAAAAACAGTGACAGGGTCCAAACTCAGAGGTGGAAGAAGTATTCAGATTATTTACCTAGGTAAAAATACGTATTAGAAGTAAATGTCCTCCTGCATTCAAAATGGTCATTTGCCCAAGTGAAAAGTATTATCATCTGAAAGTAAAATGAATCATTATGTTATTAGTATTTGTATTTTTACAACTTGTATTTAGAAATACTCCGTTGTAATTATTGATGCATAAATGTGTTCATCCATTCAGTGGCATCTGCTATAATGGGGTATATTACTTAATAATACAATACATTATAATATATGATATGATAATTACATTTTAATTTTATTCATTTCTTATTTCATAGTTTCTCATTATTATTATTTTTATTGCTAATCTTATTTTTGATTTTATTAATCTGTGTGAATCTGTGCTATCCTGTTTATCACTCTCACCCTGTTGCTGTTTGAACTACTGGATTTCCCCACTGGGATTAATAAAGGTCCATCTTATCTTATCTTATCTTAATGTATAAGTTGATTTACTTCGATCTACTGTACTGTGTGTTGTACCACAACAATATTACAAAGATTATACTGCATATTAAAGCAAACTATTGTAAAGGTAAAAGTATGAGCATAAAAAATAAAGAAGTGTGAACATTTACATTATTATTATGATTATTTAATATATAAAGACTATATATTATTGAACTACAATTAAGATAATAAGATTAGATATACTTTATTTGATCTAAAATATTGATGTTTTTTCGTTATAGTAGCCTGTGAATACCATAACAAATAAGTGATTAAATGCTCTTCAGCAAACACAACTGCAGAGCTGCAAACATTGCAAACAGACTAAGTTCTACAACACCCAGTTGTCTTTGTGTATCTGTGAATGAAGCGCCATCTCATGGTTAAATCCTGTAATTGAACAAATGGGGAAATTTGGCAACGCCCCCAGCCACTGGGATCCGCTGGGTTTTTGGTTGGAATCCGCTGGGTTGAGTCCTATCTTGAGTGCTACATCTGTAGTGCAGCTGAATACTTCCAGATGGCGATATGATGAGAGCGTTTTCAGAACAGGAAGTGAACCTTTAGCAGAGCGGTCAGACGCTCGCTGGGTAATGGGAAGGATTTGCTCATGAGGACTGAAGTCATCGGATGATATAAACAGAGCAGATGCTAAACGAGTGGAACGGCTGGTGTTAAACTGCATGTGCAATTACACAGCAGAGGGATGATTTAATGTACAGAGAGGTGGTCTCTGCTGGAAAATATGCACCAAATGTGTGAATCAGAACCTCAAAATGAAGGGCGTTAGATATCTTAAAGAATAATTTGACATGAATTACTGATGTGTATTTTTTTTTAGCACAGCTTGTTATCATTTAGAGGATCATAATAGGATGTTAGCCAATTCATAATACTCTGAGATATTGGAAAAAAATCTTTCAACAGCTGTGCAACTCTTTGAAAAATGTATGTTAAGTACATACTTCAGGGCCAAACAACCCAAAACTATTGGCATGAATCTGCAGCTACAACTTTACTTACTTACTTACTTACTAAACATCAACAGATTTTGATTCAAGCAGAACATTTGTTTGGAAAGAAACATATATATAAAATATAACATCTTTCTTTATCAATAACCTTTGACGTTTGGTCTTTACAACGCTCTAAAGTTAAAATGCTTGGATCACATCAGTCTAAAACAATCCTACGCAGCCACCACTGGAGTCTAAGATAAGATAAGAAGTACTTTATTGATCCAAATTTGGGAAATGCTTGCGTTGCAGCGGCATAAAAGACAAGGCATTGCACATAAGAGAAATTAAAAGAGTGGACATAATCATTTCTAAAATGTAAAGATCTCAAATAGAAATAAAAATCAAATTCAGATGTCAACGTTTGGAATGAATCTTTAATACAGCCGAAAGTGTGTGTGTGTGTTTTCTTCACAGATGGATGAGAGTCTGGTTTGTTCAGAAAGGTTTTCAGTAAAAAAGAAGACTCTCTCACATGTCTTGTCTCTGTTGCTGTGCAGGTTCGTGTTGGAGGAGAGGTGACCGACGTCCAGCTGGTGCAGCTGACTCCCAGCACGGCGTACTCCATCAGTCTGTACGCTCTGCATGGAGACGCCCTGGAGGGGACAGGGGTCACCTGTGAGTCACGATTTAATCATTAAAGTGAAAGGGGTTAAAGGTCACCTATTACGCAAAATCCTCTTCTTCATGTCTCTTCTACATCAACATGTGTCCCCTCTTCTTCATGTCTCTTCTACATCAACATGTGTCCCCTCTGTGGAAAGAGATTCTGAAAGTTTCAGGAAAAAAGATTCTCTCTCTTTTTGTCCTGATCCATAAAAACCTGTCTGAAAATGAGCTGATCAGATTTTGACACTTTATGATGTCATAACGATGTTTTGTCTTGTGTAACCATTAGCCAATCACCAACCAAGGTAATCCCCCCCCACCTTATCACCTGAATTTCCTCCTAGAGCACCATTGTGTTCTTTTTAACCAAATCTCTCTCAGAGGGGCGTGGGGAGTGGCTCCTTATTTTCATCTAAAGTAACAGACAGAGAATCAGCACTTTGGAAACAGGGCTGAAACAGAGGGGATTATGGGATGCTGCAATGATCTGTTTGGTGTTTCAGCCAATCAGAGACATATTCTGTATATATCTGAGACCTGTGATATATTGATGAAAAACAGTATAATAGGGGACCTTTAAAAGAGGTTGCTGCATGTGTAAAGGTTTAATAAGACAACTTCAAAAAGTCCAAAATCCACTTAAATTCAGATCTTTGTGCAATATTTGTGTGGGTTTTCCCTCTCCTGTAGTGTGTTATATAGGTTTTAGTGCATGTAAATGGTCTGCAAAGGTTAAAATCCCTGTATCCTCCACCCCGAAACGCCTCCATTGGACTCTTTTGTTTACTTCCTGAACATAGTGACATCACTATGCAACACTCACGCTCCTATTGGCTAGCGCTCCAACACATTGTACGTGATAGGCAGGGGCGGACTGGCCATCTGTAGAATCTGGAGAACCACAGAACGGCCGGTGGTCAAGGGCAGTTGACGGCCGGCCGGCCCTTTAATTGTTTTTGGTTTAACTTCATCATTTAAGTTGCGCTTCCGGCCGACAGAGGGCGACAGTGGCCGCTAATGCAGTTGTGTGGTTCTTATCTGTCAAATAATCACACACGAAGAAGAAAAAAGACCGGCCACACAGACGCCGCAGCAGACAGGGAGAATGACAAAACATGGATAAAAATCTAAGAAAAAGGAAAGAAAAAGGTGGCGCCGAGAAGGCAAGAGAAAAAAAGGTGAAGTTACTCGCAGGTAATGCTAATAAATGTCGCAAATTGACAGACCTTTTTGGCAGCAGTGGTGCTACAACTACAAGCACTATCATCACCAGCAGCTTAGAACAAGTGCATGATGAAGACGAGAATGATGAGGGCGCGATGTCATATATACAGCCAGCCTCCTGCGTTCATGAGGGACAGAGAGTTGAGCTGGTGGAAGAACCAGCTCAACTGGCACATGCAAGTGCAGGGCAAGAGCAAGAGGTGGTAAGTACTATAGAGAAGACAAGTATATTCAACCTAGTTTTTCCAGTTAGTGTGTTGCTCATGTAAGCAATTCAATAAATAAAACTGAGAGTAGGTGTAATAGACTAATATTAAAAAAAAGTATAGATTAAACAAAAGTGTATTACTTGTCAACATTTATTAAGTATTAATTCAAGTAGTATAGTATTATAAAAATAATTAACATTATTTTTAACATTAATTTATAATTGTCTAGGTTGAGGATGGAACAAGGGCTGAGGATGACAGCCACTCACACGGCAGCTCAAGCCTGAGGTATTTTCAACGCCCAAATTCTGACAATCACAGTCTCAATAGTTTTTTTTCCTATCACCCTCAGACCAAAACAAAATATTTGACAGTACAAAGACTGTTTAAACGCATGAACGGCACAGATAGAAAATGGCTCACATACTGTGAAGAGAACCACACATTGTATTGTGCAGTATGTTTAGCATTTGCCAAGCCATCTGAAAACAATCCCTTTGTAAGTGGCATGCAGGACTGGAACCATATCAGTCAGAGAGTAGAGGAACACGAAAGGACCATCATGCATAGAATGTGTGCGGAGGCCTACTTTTTGAGGGCATCCAAATCAGACATAGCCAGCCTACTACATGGATCACAAGTAGTGGGCCACAGAGATCAAGTGAAGAAGAAACGGCAGGTGTTGGAACGTGTGGTAGATGTAGTCAAGTGCGTAGGAAAGAGGTCCTCTCTACAGAGGGAAGGAATATGAGGCAGCATACACTAGATCAGGGGTCGGCAACCTTTTTGATATGAAGTGCTATTTAAAAAAAAAAAAATTATCAGCGTGCCAACGATCGAGAATTATCAACGGGGGGGGGGGGGGGGGGGGGGGGGGGGGGGGGGGAGTTGAGGATGTTGAGGAGCTTGACGCTCGTGATCTATCAACAGGAGGGCGGGGGGGGCCTCGCTGCGGGGAAGCAGTGTGTGGACCTGTCAGCGCAACTTACATGATACCGAATTTAACAAACACATTTAAATAATTGGTTTAAACGGCATAATAATAAGGACGATCGTCCGTTCTGTGATTCTCCAGAACACACATGTTATGATATTAGGGTCATGCAGAGTGAGATGAGATCGCTGTCCGAGAGAGAGAGAGGGGTGTGGCGTGTGCGTGTGAGTATGTTTCTGGAAGTGAAACGAGGCAGCAGAAAAACAGAGGTCTGTGATGTATTTTGTGAAACAGAAGAACAGCTAAATAAATGCAACGGCCTCTCAAGAAGAGCTCGCCTCTCTCCAGTCATTTAAGCTAAAGTGGGTTATTGAACCTGAAGCTCGTTGCTTCTGCCCTCCTCGACTACGGTCTGGGAGCCGACAGGAAAGTTCAACACACAGATGGCCAGTCCGCCCCTTTGTAGCATATTATTTCAATGAGAGATGAGCAGATCGCCACTGGGCTTTCAACTAAAGACACACACAGCCACGCAAAAACTGCGACATTTGTAAAGCTCCTTATGGGTACTGCAATTTGTGAAGTGCTTTCTTCCGTGGTGAAACGATCAGCACTGCACCACGGAGGAAAGCGGCAGAAAGTCACCTGGAGTTAAAGAGAGCGGGGCTGCGTTGCGTGCATGGCTTCCTTCTGCAGGTAACGGGGAGACGCGCTCTGGCGGCGGTCTCGTTCAGGATCCGAAAATACAATTTAAATATTTTGCACACTTATTCGACTTATTCCTAGTGTGCCACTGGCTACGGTGCCGCGTGCCAATGCTGGCACGCGTGCCAGGGGTTGCCGACCCCTGCACTAGATGATGACAACATTGACCATGGGAATTTTCTAGAGCTCATCATTCTTCTTGGAAAATATGATGTGTGTCTGAAAGAACATCTCACTGAGTGCACAGAAAAAAGTAAGAAGATGCACCAGTCACACTCACAGGCTAGAGGTCGGGGTTCTGCTGTAACATTCTTGTCCAAAACAACTGTAAACAACGTCCTTTCCACAGTGCAGAGGCTAATTCAGGAGACCATTGCAAAAGAGGTTGCTGAAAGCGGTATGTTTTCTGTACAAATAGATACAACCCAGGACATTACGTCCCATGAGCAGTGTTCTGTGATTCTGAGATACGTCACAGACACTGTCCAGGAAAGGCTTCTGGCAATGGTCAAATGTGAAGCATCCACTGGCCAATATTTTGTCCAGATGCTGACAGATGTAATGGATCGTTTTGATTTGGATATCAGCAACTGCATCAGTAATGCTACAGATGGTGCGTCCAACATGCAGGGTCAATATCGAGGCTTCTCTGCACTCCTGTCATCCAAAGTCCCAAACCATGTACATGTTTGGTGCTATGCACATGTGCTAAACTTCGTTCTGTCTGATACAACTGAAGTGTCCATAGCTAGTGGGTCCCTTTTCTCCCTCATGAATGACATTGCTGTGTTCATTCGTGAGTCATATAAAAGAATGAATGTGTGGGAGCATAAAAGCCAGGACACTCGACACAGACGCCTCTCCCCAATTGGAGAGACACGGTGGTGGGCTAAAGATGTAGCCTTGAAGAAGATCTTTGGCTCATTTGGAAAGCCAGACCAGGCTCTGTACATTGATGTCGTCATGACACTAAGTGAATTTCAAAGTCAGGCCAATTTGAAACCTGCAGTGCGTGTCAGAGCAAGAGGATTCTTAGAGGCGCTCCTGAGGTACGAGACGGTGTTGACTGCCCAGCTTTTCCTTCGGATTTTTGAAGTGACAACACCTCTTTCAAAATACTTGCAGACATGTGGACTAGATATCCTGTCTGCCCACAAGATGGTTCTGGACACTCAACATGCACTGATGAACATGACAAGAGATTTCATGACAGTGAAGACAGCTGCTGATACTTTTGTTGAGTGGGCAAATGCAAAACTGGAGGCAGAAGAGGACTGTGAGCTTGAGTTGGAAACAACCCTTCCACTGAAGAGGAACAGGAAAAGGAAGATGATGGCTGGCGAAATGGCAAGTGATGAGAGATTGACAGATGCAAACAGGGCCTATGAAGTAGAGGTCTATAACCAGGCACTGGATACTGTCACAGACAGTATCAAACGACGCTTCATGACCCACGGCACTCTGTATGCTGACTTGGCTGTCCTTGATCCAAGAAACTTTCCCCAAGTGTGTTCAGCAGAAGCTCTGCCTGACTTCGACTTTTCAAGATCTAAGCAAATGCTTGCTTAAATTTGACAGCAGGGCAACTGCTGCAAATTTGCAGTCTGAGTTGAAGTGTCTGGCAGCCCAGTGGCCACGGCTTAAAATGTCTGCACTTGAAGAGTACAGAGTAAGAATTTGCTCTGGTTGTGAGGAAGAAGAGACAGAGGTTTTAAACAAACAGTGCAACTCTTGTAAAGAATGCTCAATATGTTGCTACCAACTTCTGAAACGCTACAACCTCTTCACAGAAGCCTATCAGCTCCTTGGTTTAGGATACAAGTTTCTTCTCACTCTGCCTGTGACACAGGTAGCTTGTGAGTGAAGTTTCTCTGTACTCAAGCACATCAAAAGCCGAATAAGGAGCACACAGTCACAAGAACACCTGGAAGCATTCA